CCATTTTTTGCACCTTCATAATGATAGCTCACAAGTGGCTTGGGTTACCCCCTCCTGCTTGTCCCCAGCCTTCCATTGAACTGTTTTTCCATACTCAGTCTGCTCTGAATTACTCGGCTTATTTATAAAAAGTGGTCTTCCATTTTGTGAGCCTTTCCCTCTTGGATTAAAAGTGAGAGAGTGGGGACCAAATTCTCTATTTCCTTTGTACTTCTTGGGGCATCTCAAGTAGTAGTCCCATATTGGAGACACCCAGGTTAGATAGTGACAGATTGTAGCTTACAGTTGGAGTTACAAACACCAGTCCCCACCCCCACCCCACCCCCACACTGAGGGAAAACTGCACCCCCCTCCTTGAGATGTTGCTGGCATTCTACAACTTGCCCAAAGCCAGATTTATTGCTCCTGCTGTAAAGTGTATCTTCTGTAAGCCTCACTTAAAAGCTACACTTGGCAGAAGATCAAGTTAGAAGTGCAGGATAGCAGGTGATGGCGAGAGTAAGAGGGGGTGGGGAGGGCGGGGCAGAGCAAATAATTGAAGCTCCAAGAGCTACCCGCTCAATATTTAACCTAACTGGTAATTTGCTGTGACAATTATGCCATGAACTGAACACTACGACTGTACAAGAACGTCGCTCTCTAATTAAGAAGGCTCTGCTTTTCCTAGTCACCCGCACTTTAATAACACACACAAAATGAGACTTGGCTCCAGGAGCTAAAGGCTCCATTAAGAACATGTGCAGCACACGGCTGTGGTGTGCACATCACCCAAGAGTGATGCTGCCCAGTTAAGCCTGCTAACACCTTCAATTCGCCCTCACGCCACGAGCCCCATTTGACTGACAGGCATCTTCCCGGAAAGCCTGTGCGTGCCTCCACTGCAAATCGACCTGCTTCCCCACAGCACCTCTTTGAACCAGGAAGGCTCGGTGTGGGCTTGATCCTTAAAGAGTAACTTTAATAAGGATCTTCACAAAAATAAAAGTCCCTGGGAACAAATCTTCCTCCTGAGGATGGAGAGGGACACAAGGATGGAGACACACACACACTGCTAGCCAAAGACTCCAGTGTAAGACAAGAGAAAATTATTCACATCATGGCTGTAAAGAAGGATGTCACCATCTTCTAAACTGACTGCTAAAACGTGGCTAAACCAGACAAACCTTTTTTTCTTTTTCTTTTTGGCTTAATTAGTGGCTCCCTTATGGAAGGTTTGCTGCCTGGAGAGCCCATTAGAAGAGAACTTATTTCCTGGGATGCACCTTTTATACAGCTATTCAGATTTTAAATAAATAGAGGAGATGGGTGGTGGTGGTGATGGTGGGGCGAGGGTGTCATGGAAGTAGCAATGCTTCTGTGGACAAGCTCTGCATCACGAGCCTAAGTGATGGGCAGATCAGCTTTCCTAGGCAAACCTGTAAGCCTCTAAAATTTTAGGCCAATAGAAATGACCTCTGTACTGTGGCTGACTGAAGATATAAATAAACCTCAACATGAACAGCAGTGTCAATGCTGAGAGGAGATGAGAGTCCAATTGGGGCTTATTTTTAAAAAGTCCCGGTTTTTCTGGCTTCAATTCAGGGCAGGGAGGGTATTCATGAGCAGAGTCTGGGCTCCCTGCAGTGTGCTCTCTGGCTCTCCTGGGCACCAGCCCCTCAGTTACCTAACCATTGAAAGGAAGCTGTACCACACTCAAGTTAAATATAGGCTGGGTTATCTGCATTTTAAAAGCACCAAGTGCATTATCTGAGGAAGCTGTCATTTTTAATGACAGCACAAACTTCCAATTACCAGCTGGGTAATACACCGGAGAGCAGCTGCAATTTTATAAGAATGGCTCACCATTATTAAAAGTTTACATGATCACTTTTAAATTGGAGATAAATATTTCACATGAGGCAGGTGGAATTAAGTTTTTCACATGGTCTATGTGAGGCTGGAAAAAAAATTTTTTTTTTTTGAAAAATACACATTGTGAGATTTATCAACAACTGAGAAGTAGGGGGTGCCTGCTTCTCAGTCATGAAGAGCCTGGAAAAGCTGAAGGGCTGTGACAATGACCAGGTGGTTGGTTCACAGTCTCAAATATGCCTACAAGTTCACTCACTGTCAAGTTACAAATATTCCTGACAGGTCCAATGCAAGAGCTAGGGGTCTTAGGCAACAGTCTTAGGCCACCCAGAGTCAAACATTATTCACACAGGGAACTTACCTTACTTTGGAATTTTCTTCATGGAGTCTCTGTAGCCTCTTGTCAGTGATCAGTGGAGTGACTCTGGTCAGGTGTTATGTTCTTCCACATAGACAGACAGCCCCTGACCTAAACAAAGGCTGTGACTCATGTTTCAAGTGACCCAATTCTTTGTGAAGCCTTTGTTGGTGACTTGAGTCTCCAGTGATCTATCTACTGAATTTTCATGTGATCCAAAGGGTACCCACAGGATTTAGAGGCAAGATGGGAATAAAATGCAAGGAGACACTGTCGCTTATTTTATAATTTGTTATTGGAAGTGTTTTAACTAGGATGTTTCATGATGGTGTGATTATAAATACCATATAAAAAAGGAAGAGAAGGTGGTGGAATCCTAGTTACTTGGGAGGCTGAGATCGGGAGGATCAAGGCTTGAGGCCAGCCTGGGCAAATAGTTCAAGACCCCCTCAACTCCAAAATAACCAGAGCAAAATGGGCTGGAGATGTGGCTCAAGCAGTAGAGCACCTGCTTTGCAAGCATGAAAGCCTTGAGTTCAAACCCCAGTCCCACCCAAAAAATAAAAAATAAAAAATAAAACACATGGAAGGAGGCTAGGACAGGCAGGTGGATCAAGGAAAATGACAGACTACATGCTTTTCCCAATGACATCAAAACTATCATCACAAATAAAAGATTTAAGGATCATTAATAGCTTTATAGAATCAGGTTGCTTTATAAAACAAGTCAAATGTGTTCCTGGGAGGCCATTTCTACCATGCTGGCTTCTTCATGGCTACACCCGTGTCCTTGGGGTAGGCAGGATGAAACTCTGGATGGCTCCAAAGCCTCACTCCTCCCTGCATTAATCTGCTGCTTCTAGGAGTCTGCTCAAATTACCTGCCAGTCTTTGATGGTACATGGGGTTAGACGAGTTATCACTGGGCCAAGGCAACAGAAAAACCATCAGAGAACCTAACAGAACAAGAAGTGCAGGCATATATTTCCACAGTGTCTCAAAGGAGAACTGCTAGTGCCCATTAGAACCTGAGTTTATAACAAATTTTAAAAGTATTGCCGGTTATGTGGCACACCTTCCACTTGGTGGAAGGCTGATGCAGGAGAATCATAAGTTCAAGGCCACCCTGAGCTACATAGGGAGCCCCTTCTTAAAAAAAAAAAAAAAAAACAGACAAAAGGACTGGAAGTGTGGCTCAAGTGGTAGAGTGCCTACTTTGCAAGCTTGAAGCCCTGAGTTCAAACCTCAGCCCCACCAAAAAAGCCCCAAAAAAGTATAAGCAGCTGACAGAAAGTGACTCAGCTCCATAAATTTACTTATCCATAAAGCCAAATATCACTTAAAGTGATACAAGATACATGTCTTTTTTCTTTTTTTGGCAATACTGGGTTTTGAACCTCAGGGTCTCATACCTCAGTGCTCTACCATTTGAGCTATGCCTCCAGGACTTTTTGCTTTAGTTATTTGTCAGGTAGTATCTTCCTGTTTTTGCCTACAGATTTCTCCTACATAGGTGGGGTTATAGGGGTGTTCCACCGTGCCTGGCTAGTTGATTGAGATAAGAATCTTCTATACTTTGAACCTTGATCCCCCTGATCTCTGCCTCCTAAGTAGCTGGGATTACAGGTGTGGCCACTGCACCCAGTCCAGATCTATTTTTACTGAAGTAGAAAGGACATCCATTCTATAGTGCTAGGAGGATGTGTTACAGAATGGTATGTATGGTATGATCCCACTTCATCTTTTTGCAGTGCTGGAGTCAAAACCAAGGCCACATTCATGCTAGTGAAGTACTCTACCACTAAACTATACCCAACCCTCCTCCATTTTGTATTAAAACTGTATTTATACACATACATACACAGAAAGTGGTAGTCAGCTAAAGAGGTTAAGGCTGGTTGGTGGGATTATGGATGATTTTGTTTTTTCCTATCAGGTTATTTTTCTTTTTCATTTTTTTGGCAGTACTGTGGTTTGAACTCAGGACCTCACCACCAGCCCTTTTTTGTGTTGTGTATTTTTGAGATAGAGTCTCTAGAACTATTTGCCCGGGCTGGCTTCAAACTGCAATCCTCCTGATTTCTGCCTCGTGTGTATAGGAGTGAGCCACAGGCACCCGGGTAGCAAGTTATTTTCTAAAAAGGAATGTGTATTACTTGCATAAGAAATAATCAATGGTCCAAATCATCCCCTTTCCCTTCCTTTTTTCTTTAACAAATACTAACAATACTTAACATCAGCTTAGTAACAAAATAAACTCAGTTAAGGTCCTCCACCCCTCAATGAACAAATGAAAATATCTAAACTCTATTCTCTTTGAGAAACAATTGTTTCCAAAGGTGTTTTAAAAGCTAGAACGCTACCTAGAGTAGATTATAAGACTAAGAGCTTCCAAACCATATGAAAACGGGGCTAAAAAGAAACCGTCTTTGAGACAAGGAAAGAATCAATTTTTGAGAGGAACAGTGGCCTTCTGACAAGTGCAAAGGAAAGAAGGCCCAGCAACCCGTTTCATTTTCTATAAATAAAACCATGGCAGGCGTATAGCCAAAGAAACACAAGTCAATACAAACCTTTATATGCTGCGTTGCCAAACTTCACTTTTAGACAGTATATTAATTATGTAGTCAATAACGATGGGCTTCATTAGTGTATTAAATACCACGATCAATATTATTTATACTTTTCGAAGACAGGCCACTCAGGAAAAAAAGTGGGGGAGGGGACACTTTTGACCCTGCAGTTCAAAAAAAGTCAGAACAGCACACTAGAGATTAGCAAGGCTTTAATGGAAAAGCATAAAACACTGAAAATATGGACAGAAATCAGATTATTACCTTATTTTTTTCTTGCCTCTTTGACAATGAGACTGGAGGGAATTCAAGAACCATTTAAACTAAAGGCAAAATGATTAGATTTTTTTCCCTAATTGCTTAACACTGATGTCATGGTGTATGCAAAATCCACATTGCTCTCTAAGTGAAAGATGAGAAATAGAACAACATGAACGGCCTCTCGAGGTAAACTATATCCAAGAGAATTCTAAGAACTGTGGGCCAGAATCCACTTGGGCAATCCTCTGGGACCTGAATGTCTTAAAAGCCTAACAGTGGAGCCAACTTCAGAGGCTGCTCTGATGGTGATCTGATCTTTTAGTAGGGAACCTGTTAAGCATCCTCCCTCCAGGGAGCCCCTCCCTCCTGCTCTGGATTTCGAGTCACATCCAGGGACGTGTGCTGGTTTTATCACAAGGGCCACCGAGAAACCACGGGGACTGGCCCGGTGTTCGGTCCTGGTCTGGCTAGTCGATCCTCCTCCCTGGGAGGACAGGCCTGGTGCTGGGAAGAGGAGGGAATGCTGGGAGTAGGAGATATAAAAGACTGGTTACTGGATTGAAAGCTAGATTACCATCTTCACCCCACAATTTGTCAATCCAGAACAGTGTTGAAGACTGTAATTTTCTAGTCAATGCTTTATAAGCAAGGTCAGACAGCAAAGAGCTTCCATAAAAATTGTTGCAGATTCAGCCAGAGAACCAAGCACAACTCTATTCCTATCTGCTGAGGCTAGGGAAGGGTAAGGAAGACTGTCTCCATTACCAGTGGGCCAGAAAGGAAGTCCTTCCATGTGTGTCTGTTCTCAGCAATGGGCCACCCCTTTCTTGGCTGTTTCCTCCCAAAACTGGACAGTGGTGGTACATAAATTCCCGCACTTAGTAGCATTGAGGCAAGATGATCCTGAGTTTGAGGTCAGCCTGGTAACAAAGTGAGATCCTGTCTCAAAACAGCTAAAGATGAAACAGTCACTGGTCGTCAGTCCACAAAGCAGGCCTGCGGCTGCAGGAAACTGCAACACTGCCTAGACGCTTGGAGAGCAGTGCAGCCGACGCCGAGCTAGCGGTGGGTTGCAGCAACCCGGCAAGTAATTAATATGAGCAGGAACACACAGAGCAAGCAAGCACTTGCTGACTGGAAAGCCCAGTAACATAATTATTGTTTTCTTACTCGATCACTGTCTGCACACATTTCAAAGCCTGGTTGGTGTTAAGACTGCTGTGTAGACATCAATAAAATCCCAAAGTGCCAGATCATCAGCATTCTTGGGCACAATGGCTTTTTCTTTTTTGTGTTTTTGTTCTTTTAAAGATGCATTTCAGGGTTGCAAACATTAGTCAGAATGATCTCCAGGCTTTGGACTAATCTTCGAGTTTGTAATGAGTTAATATCTCTCCCAAGTGGACATTTATTATGAAGGCTAATTAATTGCTTTCCAGTTGCAAGAACCCTTTGCATTCATTCAAAGAAAGTAGGATTCAGGAGCAAAGGATATACTGTTTATTAAAACAAAGCAAGGAAAACGGGGCTTCCTCCAAAATCCTTTCTGCTTAACATTCTTTAATCAAGAAATGAAACAAACAAATACAAGAAATATGTACAGGTACAAAAAGTGTGCACTCGCCAACCAAAATACAACATTAACTGAAGTGAAAACTCAAGCAGCACTTTGTAGTTGCCTGGATGTCCCCGGGGGACAGCAAGTCAATGTTTATCGGCCATCCTCAGAAGAGACAATTTTGATTACTATCAGACCCATCTGACTCAGTCTATTAAATCTATTAAACCCTGAAGGAAGAGTAGTCTTCAGATATAAAAGCTAGGCCTTTGATTAATAATTCTACTCTATTGCCATTCCAAGCATTAACAAGCACGTGGTACCCCGAGAAAGAGAGCGCCTTTGAATTCCAGGAAGATACACTGAACTCCTGGGTTCCCTACCACCACTTCCCAGGAACCCAGATGTATAGGTGTCACCACTGGAGTAGCAAAACCTGACTTACATAATTTACTTCATATCTGCAGAGTTAGGGTTAATTACTTGTGACATAATTCCTGTTCGAAGATAGCAAAATCTTAATAAATGTGACAAAAGCCTGAAGACAGAGGGAGGGACTGGGGCTAGGCTACCTGCCAGCTGACCCCTGGGTCTGACAGTTTATACCACAGCCATCTGGGCACATGGTCCTTGGTCTACCAATGGGTCCCAAGAGGTGCAAAGGGAACTGCCAGTCCACCACAGAGGCTCCGCAAATGTGTAGCTTGGTGTGGGATGTCATGTGGGGTGGGACACAGATTCTGTCTCAGCTATTTTCAAACTTCTGTCCAATCAGCACGTTCTCCTCACATCGTGGCGTTCCTCCTGATATTCATGATCAGCCTTCTGCCATAGTCTCTGTAGTCCACGGGCTTCACGTCCATCACGGTGGCCTTAATACGAGACTCATCCTTTGAAAAGAGAAAAATGGTTTGTGAGTGATAGAAGCTGGGCATGGAGCAGTGGTGATAACCTGCTTTGCTTCAGTGGCTTTAACAAGCCCAGCAGGAGGAAACAGACTCACTGGATTCAGAGTTTAGAAATTCCCACAAAGAAAACACCATGAGTGAGAATTCCCAGGGCTGGGCCAATGGCCAGCTCTCCCTTTGCACAGACTTCTCTCCTGTCCTCAGGCTCCCGACACCTAGATACTTGGAATCCTATTGGAATGGACGTTGGTGGGTATCTCTTTTCTTTTTATTCTCTTTAAAATAAGACAAGTCCAGACAGGACAAGTAACTTGCCAAAAGCCACAAAGCTAGCTCTGAAAGCAGACTTTCATCTCAGGAAAAACTGAGTTGTTGTCAAAGAAAAAGCACCTGCACCCTAAGACCGGGGCTGGCCTGTCTGGATTTGGTCTCAGCTCTGGGTGAGGTGACCTCTAGGTATCTTCCCTATCCATACCAGGAGGGACTAAATGGTCCTAACCACCTGCTGTTTGGCTCACTCCCCCCCCCCCAATCACACTGACCTTTTGTCCCTATCTCATTTAACACAATAAACACATCTTCACAGGTACTAAGGTCCGACAACACTTCAGAATACATAAACCCTGCAGCTGCAGTGGCTTCACAGAATTCTCTCTCCTCACTTCATCTCCAGGAACTAAGCAATGTCTTTAGAAGCAGAGCAGGGTGATGCCCAGAGGCTGCATGGTCTATCCAGGGCTCTCATGCCTCCCTGTGCTCAGTAATTACTAAATATACAAGCACGGTTAAGAGCAAAGCTTGGAGTCAGAATGTCTGGACTCCTAGCCCTGCCACTTGACTTAGCACATGACTTTAGGCTCAGAAACTCATTCTCTGTATGCCCTCACCTTTCCAAGGATCAAGTGGGGTAATACATGAACGGGAGTAGGGCAGTATCCGACAGTGCTCAGTAAAGTGCTCTTTACTATGGACATCTAAGGAATTTTCAACGTAATTTTAACTACATCTGGTCTTTGCTTCATATACTGACCACATACATTGTCATTTTTTTTGGCAGTACACAGACAACCCCCCTGCCCCAGGTTTAGGGGCTTATTTTTTGAGACAGGGTCCCACTATATAGCCCAGGTTGGCCTCAGCCTCCTCCTGCCAAATGCTGAGATTACAGACATGTATCACCATGCCTGGCAAAACCCTTGGGTTTTAACGGAAAAGGTAATGTAGCATTTTTCCCACTAGATGTTTAGACCCTCTAGGTCTATTTCCTCACCTGAAAACGAGGTTGGTAACCCACCTCAGTGCAGGAAAGATTTGATCAGTACTGAACATGGTATGCAGCGCTGAGTCTGGCACACAGGCAATCCCCTGTCACTAACACTGGAATGCTGCTATGAGCAACAAACAACTTCCCACCACTAACCAACCCTCTGTCCTCAGCAACCTTACTTACATTATAGGTCTCCAGTTTGACCCTGATTCTGAACATGAAAGATCGAAAGTTGGCATTCTGGAAGACTTCTTCAAATGCCTGCTCGTTCTGTAAAAACAATGCACAGAAACTACTAGACTGCTTGAAAATACCTGGAAGGCTTCTGAAAAGACATGGAGGAAATTACTGCCCTTTGTGAGTTACAATTACTTAGGAATGACTAATTTATAGGTGATGTCTCATCACATGAAACTGTGTAAGTCAAACTTTATTAAAAATTAACACACTTTACTTAGAGTGCAGTTCTTCCCTAGCATATGTAGGGCACTGGTTCCAGAACCCCCCAGCAGATACCAAAACCCAAGGACGCTCAAGTTCCTTATATGAAATGCCAGTGACTGCACAGAACCCATGCACATCCTCCTGTGTTCTTGAAATCATCTCCACATTACTAAGAATACCCGAGAACAACGTGAATGCTATGTAAGCAGTTGCTATACTGAGCTGCTTTGCCAATGTAAGAAGAAGTATCTGTACATGTTCAGTACAAGCACAATTTTCCCAAGTACTTTCCCCTCACGGTTGGTTGAATTTTCAGATATGGAGAACTGACTGTAATCAAGTCCACACAAGCAGAATGGTGGCTGCCAAGGTGGAGAGGAGGGGAGTGAGGAGCTGCTGCTTATCAGGCACTGATTTCAGTTTGGGAAGATGGGACATTCAGGAGGACAGTGATGGTAGCTGCACAGCAGTGTGAATGTAGCTAATGTCACTTAATTCTATGCCTCAAAAAAGTTACAATGGGGAAAGAAAAGTAAAAAGGTTACAATGGTAAGTTTTTTGTTATGTGTATTTTCATCACACAGGAGAAATACTCTTAGGAAACACAATTCTAAGACTGTGAATGTTTGTGATGACATCATCTAAGATCCAGCATCTTCTCATCATTAGTTAAGAATGGGGGGTGGGGAGGAGATACTTTAGATTTTAATCCTAGCTACTTGGGAGGCAGAGATCAGGAGGATCGTAGTTTGAGGACAGCCCAGGTAAAAAGTTCTTGTGAGACCATCTCAACCATTCCGGCTATGTAGGAAGCATAAATAGGAGGATGGTGGTCCATGCATACAGAGAAGACCCTATATGAAAAATAACTAATGCAGGAAGGGTTTGGGGGTGTAGCACAAGGGGTAGAGCACCTGTCTAGCAAGCACAAGGCCTTGAGTTCAAACCCCAGTATTGCCTCCCTGAAAATGCTTGAATTTGTCATATACTTTACTATTTTAGCCTCTACTTACAGCTGACTTTGGGGAGCAAGTAGAGGAAACAGGTGGAGTGGGCAAAGTCAGGCAAAGTCTAGAAACACAGAATACCTTTTATATAAAATCACATAAACTTACACAAAATAGTTCATATAAGCAAAGTAGTTCTTTGGTTTTTTTGGTACTGGGGCTTAAACCCAGGGCCTTCGCCTTGAGCTACTCCACCTATTTTTGTGAAGGGTTTTTCAAGATAGGGTCTCACAAACTATTCGCCTGAGCTGGCTTCAAACTGCGATCCTTCTGATCTCTGCCTCCTGAGTAGCTAGGATTACAGGCATAAGCCACTGGCGCTTGGCTAAACTAAGCAGTTTTGCAAGCCACACGACACATGAAAATGGCTTTATTATATAGACCTCTTTTTGTAGATGTAACCTGACCCCCTCCCACCAAAAAAAAAAGTCATTCCATGGACTTTCAATACGTAAATAAGAATGTATTATGCCTTCAGAAAATTCTAACATTTGCTATTTATTCTTCCAGATTAGGGGAAGCACGGATGCATACTGCACGAATAACATAGTTCCTGAGGGAAGCGCTTCTCTGTGTCCTCATTCACCAGCAGTAAGAACAGTCAAATATAATAAGCTCATAAAAATCCTGAAAGGCTGCCTTTAGCCTTAAAATCTGATACGAAAATAGAGGACTAAGCAAAACAGATAAAAGGTACTATCACACTTTAAAGTCAATCCGTTATTTCCGTAAAGGACTTGTTAGGACTATTTTCAGAGATCTCACGGATGGCTTAAAAAGGGGGGGGAGGGGCAGAACCAAACAGAGAGAACTGAGGACAGAAAGAGTAAGAAAAATACACCAGAACAAAGGACTTCGTGACCTTTACAAGCAGTCTAACCAATTTGGAGGAAAAAAAAAAAAGATCCCAATTTTCATGGCTTAGAAATTACGGATTTATGGGCCATTTTGTATCAGCAACTGTCTTTTTTGGTTTTATTTCTGTGGTGCTGGGTATTGAACCCAGGCCTTGAGTATGTTAGGTGGGCAAGCACTCTACCACTGAGCTATATTCCTAGTCTCAGCAACTATCTTTCTTAACCTTAACAAAATTAGTAACCTATTCTTTGTATTAAATAAACCTAGGAGATAAAAAGATGAAATGGGTAAAATTATTTACTTATTTTGTTTTTGTGGGACAGGGTCTTGTCAAACAGCCCAGACTGGCCTCGTACTCATGCTTTTCCTGCCCCGGATCCTCAAGTGCGTACCACCTACCCAACGCAGGTGACTTGTGTGACGAAAGGAAGTCAGTCCAGGGGTGCACAGCTCAAGTGGGATAGCACTCGCCTGGACTAGCATGGACAAGACCCTGGGTTCAAGTCCCCAAACTGGAAAAAAAAACTCACTTCATAAAAATTATACCTGGTGACCTGAAATACCAAGTACCTTATACGAGCATTTGTACCAAGGTTTGTCTCAACCTTCCTGGAGGAAGTTTATTACGTTAAAAAGGCACACCTGAACTCTCTGTTATCTCAGAGGACACCTTCTAGAGCTTAAGTGATGGCAGGCATACCAGTTCTGACACGCCAACAATGGGACCAACAGGTGGTTTTACTTGCAATGTGCTTTGTGTTCAAAGCTTTCTTCTACACCATGTTTCATTACCTGGTGTCAAGTGCATCCCAAATGGACAAAACTAGATAAGCAAAAATAAGATGAACTCTCAAATTATCATTATACTGCTAAGTTATATACAGCACCCCAAAGAAACAAACCAAAAAACTATTAAACAGCAGAAAAGGGTTCACAGTGTTAGGGCATGAGAACTACTACAGCTGTAATAAAACATGTGACCAACCTTCTCTTTTAACTCCCCAAGATACGCGGTGTTCTGTCCAAGGATGGCTTCCGCAGACTCCTGGAAACAAGTTACCCACTGATTCTCTTGAAAATCTGCAATATTTGCCTAAAAAACACAATTCTATTATTTCAGCAAAGAAATACAAGGAAGACACACTAAGACTAGAGATTACCTTTTTCTACTCAATAAAGTAATTTTCAAGGGAAAAAATATTACCATTCCATAAACATAAACGTAAGTCCTGACTGACAATGGTTTAACTCAAGTTTTCCCTTTATATGCAAAAACATATGCATTCAACTATGCATTTTTTGTTTTTCAGTAGTGGAGTTTGAACTCAGTGCCTATACCTTGAGCCATTCCACCAGCCTTTTTTTTTTTTTTTTTTTTTTTGTGATGGATTCCTTTGAGACAGGATCTCGAAAACTACTTGCCTGGGCTGGCAAATGTGTTTTGTTTTGTTGGTGGGGACTGGGGCTTGAACTCACAGCTTTATACTTGCAAAGTAGGCACTCTACTACTTGAACCACACCTCCAGTCCCATTCAACCATTCTGTTTTTCACTTTTAGTACAGCATTCCAAAAATTACGTGAGACATTCAATACTTTATTATCGCTCTCTTTTTTTTGGGTGGGGGGCATACTGGGGTTTGAACTCAGGATCTTGCTAGGCAAGTGTGCTACCATTTGAACCACATGTCCAAATCAATACTTTATTATAAAATAGACTGTGTGTTATATGATTTTGCCCAACTCCATGCTATGTACGTGTTCTGAGCACATTTAAGGTAGGCTGAGCTAAGCTATGGTGTTCAGCAGGTTATTTGCATTAAATACATTTTCAACTTAGGATATTTTCCCATTTCCAGTGGGTTTATTGAGATGTAACCCATTGTACGTCTATAAGTACAATGTGCTAAAGTCTAAAATGTCTGGATCACAAGATGCTGTGGCTGTATGATTTCAGATCTCTGTGGAGAGAGCCCAACTAAACTCTCCTGTGGATGCAGAATGCAGGCACATCAGACCTAGTTCCCCCTCCAAATGAACAGGCTTTGCACTAAAGGTTTTGAATAAGCCTCCAGCCATCAGGGTAGGTCCGCTGCATTTTTTTTTTTTTGCGGGGGCGGGGGGAGGGGTGTGCTGGTGGTGGGGTGGGACCAGGGTTTGAACTTTGCATTTGCAAAGCATGTGCTCTACCACTCAAGCCACACCTCCAATCCATTTTGCTATGGTTAGTTTTTTAGAGATGGGGGTCTCATGAACTATTTGCCCAGGCTGGGCTCGAACCACATTCCTCCTGATCTCAGCCTTCAAGAAGCTAGGATTACAGGTGTGAACCACCAACACCTGGTGGCCCTCTGCATTTTATTTTGTTTTGTTTTTTTGAGTAGGGTCTTGCTACACAGCCTAAGCTAGCCTTGAATTTGTGATTCTCCTTCCTCAGCCTCCTGAAAGCTGGGATTATAGTTGTGTACCACCATGGCTGTTGCTGGTCCTCTGTATTTTAAATTATACATTTTCCAGTCACACTGAGGAACTCTATGAGATGTCTCTCTCACCACTGAGCAACCCAGACAATTCTGAGTCTCAAAATCTACCCAGCAATAGAAACGAGCAATCAGGTGTCTCCAATAGCACAAATGGTGTGAAGTGAAATTGGGGAGGGTCAAGAAAGCAAATGGATCTCAAAAACTTCAGCTACTCATGTAAAAGACTCTACAGAAACAAGAGTGAAGTTTTTTTAAATAAAGGTATCATTTTGAAGATTTCATTTTGAATGTTCATGGAGCATGTTATGATAAGGCAACAAGTTAAAAGCACTCACAAATCTGAGGTAATGGTGTTATATACTGGAGCTCACATCTACTAGAGTTTACTCCATGCTGTCCTCCTAAGAGACACTGGGCATCCCATTCTATAGGCAAGAACAGCCTTGATGCAGACACATGAGCAATGTCAAATGAAACAAGAGTGCAGGAAATCCCACTACTGAGGGTTCAACAAAAGGCTAATGGAATTAACTACCTAAGATAATTTTCTCCACCTTAGTTCAATGAAAAGTTTATAGTTTTTAAAAAAACCCAAGAGCTTATTGTAGTACTTTCCTGCTGACCCAACATTTTAAAGGACAATTAGATGGAATCTTTTTCCTTTATGATTTCTTCCTTTCCTATTTGTATCCCTTTTGCTTGTCTATTTCTCTGGCTAAGAACTCAAGAGCTATATTGAATAAGAAGAGAGAGTGGATACCCTGGTCTTGTTTTGACTTTAGAGGAAATTGTTTCAGTTTTCCCCATTTAGCATGATGTTAGCTATAGGCTTATCATATATAACCTTTATTATGTTATAATACAATCCTTCTCTTCCTAGTTTCTTCAGGGCTTTTATCATGAAGGAACATTGTATTTTTGTCAAAGGCTTTTTCTGCAACTACTGAGATGATCGTGTGATTTTTGTCCTTGATTCTATTTATGTGTTGTATTACATTTATTGATTTGAATCAATTATTGTTATTAAATCCTTTTTTAATTTAAAAATATACCTTTACATATCTTACTATAAGAGCCAGGTATTAAAAAAAAAAAAAAACAGCCAGGTATGTGGTGCATGCCTACAATCCCAGCAACTTGGGAGGTGGATGCAGGATGATCACAAGTTTGAGGCCAGTTCAGGCAAAGTTAGCAATTCTTATCTCAAAAAACAAAAGAGCTGGAAGCATGTCTCAAGTGTAGAGCACTTGCCTCAAGCTCGAAGCCCTGAGTTCAATCCTCATCTCCAAAGCAAAGCAAAACAAAACAAATTTATCAAGAGTATTATTGTAGGCAAAAAAGGAGAACTGCAGAAAAAACAAAATGAAAAATAAAAATCAACCAGAAATAACCACTACCAACAGTCTGGTATTTATTCTCCCAGTCTGTTTTCTATCTATGTATACCCAAGGACCATTTTTCAATTAAGTTTGAATATTTACTTATTTAATAGTTTTCATTAGGTATGGTTTTCAAGTATTTTAATTGTCAAAACTGTAAAGTACGTGGTAAATTCCAAGGCCTTCACAATACTCTATGGCTATTCAATAAAGGAATACTACCAGAATAAAGAGGACATTTAAGTTGTATTCAATTTCTCAAAATAAACAACTGTTAACAGACAACTTTACATAGCTGTAACATGTCTGATTACTTCTTTAGAATAAATTCCCTCCAAGTGGCTGGGTCAGGAAAAAAAAAACCAAAAAACATTTTGGGCTGGTGAAGTGGTTCATGTGGTAGAGTACCTGGATAGCAAGTGTGAGGCCCTAAGTTCAAGTCCCAGTACCTCAAAGAAAAAAAAAAGAGAGAGAAAATATAAACATTTTCTAATATCTTATTGACTAATCACCTTAAAAACATTCCTGTTTTCTTATATCCTTATCAGTTATCATTACTTAAAAAAAAAAAGTACACCCTTCATTTTAAAGGTTTTTGAAATAAAACAATCTTTATGATGCAAAAAGGTCACAATCTGCACATTGCTTTGAAGTTATGTCTACCAAACTAGAGTAACAGATTATCTGCAAGGAAGGTGATGAAACACTGGCACCTCTATATAAGTACAACTACTCACTAATTATACAGCATGCAGAGAAGACTACAATTGACTGGGGCATCTCAAAGAAACCTTCTGGCATAAAAAAAGCTTTTAGTAGTACAAAACAGATTGCTCTTCAGTTGAATGAAAGACCCTATGTCCTTACTGACTCATCTGCAAGCTCCCCACCAAGAGCCATCTTGGCTCTGCTACTGTAACCCCAATGCCAGGCACATGTTAGCAAGTCTATAAACTCTACAGAGCTTCCCCATTACCCATCTACTTACTGACAAGATCATGCGGTACTTGAAATTAGGAAATTCACGGTCGCACTTCTCACAGCGGTATAATCCATTCTGCTGGTCAATCACTTTCTTATTGCAGTCCTGAGTTGGGCAAGCCTGGTACATACAGTTCTCTTTGCGAAGATACACCACTGTTGCCACAGAGCTGAAGTAGTCCGCCTTTAAGAGAAAAGGATGGCATGAGACTCAAGAGCAACAAGCCTACATTCAGGATAGAAGTCAGAAGCAGCTCAAAGCTTTCCCTTACACACAAGTGGTAGGCACTTTTTCATATTCCAGTTCTCGGGCTCAAAAAGAAATTATGGGGAAACACTCATTCTGTAGTTTCAGAAATTGCATGTGCTACGTACAAACCCAGGGAGGTAATAAACCAAGTTCTCCAGCACATAATTCCTTATCAATAAAAAAGGTGATTCTAAGTTAGACCTAGTTAATTAATAAAAACAAATTTTTTTTTTTTACAGTACTGGGACTTGAACTCAAGGCCTTCACCTTAAGCCACTCCATCAGTCATATTATTGTGATGGGTTTTTTGAGATAGGGTCTTTCGAACTATTTGCCTGGGCAGGCTTTGAACCTTGATCCTTCTGATCTCTGCCTCCTGAGTAGCTAGGAATACAGGCGAGAGCCACTGGCGCCCAGCTAGTTTTTTTTCTTGTTTGAAGATTAAAGACAGAGACTTGGTACTCTGACCCATTAAAGGCCATACATAGATCTAGGAAATGCAGACTAATGCAGACCACAGAAATCTAGTGCAGCTACGATCAACCATTCCTCCTACATTAAAAACAAGGACAGTGGTTTCTAGGGCCTAAATCTACCATTAAAAATAATGGTCCATTTTTGCCTAGTCCACGAATTAGCAAGTTTTTTCTATAGGAAGCCAGACAGCAAATGTTTTAGACCTGAGAAGCCTAAAACACAGTCTCTGCTGCAACTCCTCAATCTTGTTATTGCAGGGCAAGAGAAAACATGAAGATGGAAGCAGGTAGCTCTGTTCCAATAAACCTTTATTAGCAGCAACAGGTGGTTGGTTAGATTTTGGCTCATGGCATTATTTGTCTATTCCTGTCTGAGCCATCAAATTCAATAGAATACAAAAATAACTGAGTTAGACCTTTGCCTTCTAAGTGGAGAAACCACTGATAAGTAAATCTAGAAAGACTAAGTCATGTTTTGGTGCCTTTTTTTTTTTTTTTTTTTTTTTGGTAGTACTCGAGTTTCAACTCAGACCTTAACCTTGAACCACTCTGCCAGACCTTTTTTTTGTGATGGGTTTTTTTCAAGATACGGTCTTGTGAGCTATTTGCCCGGGCTGGCTTTGAATCATGATCCTCCTGATCTCTGCTTTATGAGTAGCTAGGATTACAGACATGAGCCACACTGGCACCTGGCTTGTTTTGGTGTTTTTTGTTGATATTTGCTCTGCCTTTTTACCAACCCGTCCCTCCCACACCAAAGGATCTCAGATAAATGAATAATCTCTGGTTTGTGTTTAGTACTGCCAGGGAGCACTTTTCTCTGGGTGAACCCTGAATTTAGAGCCAGGCTAGCAAATGCTAGGGGCTTCCTGATGTCTCTGACCAAAAAAGGCAAAACAAGGTGAAAGTTTAAAGAGCCTGGGCTAACTGGGTGTTGGTGTCTCACACCTGTAATCCTAGCTACTTGGGAGGCTGAGATCAGGAGGATCACAATTTGAGGCCACCAGTCTGGGCAAACAGTTCATGAAACCACCCCCCATCTCCAAAATAACCAGAGGAAAAATGGACTAGAGATGTAATTCAAGCAGCAGAATGCCTGCTTTGCAAGCGTGAAGCTCTGACTTCAAATCCCAGTCCTCCCCCAACCCCGCCAAAAAAACAAAACAAAACCTAAAGAGCTTGGGCTAGTATCCAGTTTAGAATGCTCTAGGGCTGGGGGTGTAGGTCAGTGGTACAGCACTTTGTCTAGCATATACAAGGCCCTGGTTCCATCCTCAGCATTGCAAAAATAAGTAAATAAATAAATGATTTAAAAATTACAAAGCTCTAGAGAAAAACAACTCTCTTAGGAGAATGCCCAGAGTTTTTCTGTATTTCCAGATTAGGTCTAGACTCAAAGCATGACTTAAACGTCTTGGTGCAGACAGGTATTCTGTAAGTCCAATTTCTTATCATACTGTCTATCTTTAGAGTAAAAGAAACAGAAGAGTGGCTGTTCCTATGACAGGACAACACAGATCTGCCCAATGTTTAATTCTCAAGATGTTATGTAAAAACATTATAAGCTGCTGTTGATGACAGTGATGGATGGGGTATACAGAGAAATTAGACAGTAAGGAATAAAACCTATATTGTATATGGTGACAATAAAGGAACAGGGAGCATAAAAAGAAGTAAATAATTTAAGTATTCTATTGCTACAGGATACAAGTTAGATCAAGATGGGAGGAGTGTCATTAAATACAGATTGAAAGGGAAGCTGCAACTAAATGAAATGGCAGTCAGTCCTCTCAGTCCACATGAGGTGACATAACAGTACACGGGCACTGCCAATACCTGACAGTGAGCCTGACTAATGCTCTGCTCTAAAACTGCCTTCATGATAGGTTGAGCACTTTGACTTGTAGAAACAATTAGAAAGTAACATGAACCTGAAGTTAGTCCACATTATAATACAACACTTGGTCATTATCACTTCCTCAAGCTCTGAGTTCTCCGCATTTTTCTGCCTCAAAACTTGGAGGGGTACAAACACACTTCCATTAGCAAGCCTGGCCTCTTCACTCTGGCAGTGATTCTTAAGCATCATGCCATGTTTGGGGCACAAGCCCCAAGTAAGAATGATAGCTCTGAGCCAGGCTTGGTGGCTTACATCTGTAATCCTAGCTACTCAGAAGGCAGAGATCAAGAGGATTGCTCATGCCAGTCTAGGCAGAAAGTCAGCACAACTCCATCTCAACCAATAAAAAGCTGGGTAGAGCAGTATGCACCTGTCATCCTAGCAATGCAGGAAGCATAAATAGGAGGATGAAGTCCAGGCTGGCCTGGGTATAAAAGCAAGACCCTATTTAAAAAAAAAAAAAAAAGACAGCAAAAAGGGCTGGGGGCATGGCTCAAATGGTAGTGTGCCTGCCTGGCAAGCACAAGGCTCTTAGTTCAAATCCCCAGTACTGAAAAAAAAGTTCTGAACTAACATCAGACAGCTGTTATCAAAAAACAGATTTCAAAACTGAATCCTCTGTATGCCTGCTACACTTGTGTAGAGAAAGAAAGGAATGAAAGATACCTTGTCGCCCTGGCCCAGGTTCTCCGATTTAACCTCATATAAAGTTTTCCAGTTGGTGTTGCTCCCTCCTATTCCTCCACTCCTTATATCAGAGATGGAAACACCATCTAAGGCTTGTCCTTCTGAGTCAAACCTGAAAAATAAGTACCGACAGGCACTTTACATAATTCTCAAATAAGCTACTTGTTTCTATGTACAAGATAAGCACCCTCTGCCCCCTACCAGCTTTTACATGGGTACTGGTCACGTGGGCTGAAGTTACTATCTTCTACTGTACCTTAGTCCAGTGAAGAAATGGGATGTTCTTTCTTTTTATCTCATTTGCTTTGATATCCCCCAGTGGTCAAGACACACACCAAAGTACCACAGACTCTTTCCTAAGCTAGCAGTGGCCCTGGCAGAGGCCTGAAAACAGTAACTGTGAAAGTGAACAATAAAAAGCAATAGTGTGGCGCTCTGGTCCTTTGGGCTACAAATGCTCATCTCAGTCTGCAGCTGCACTTTTATCAGCACTGAAATGTACCATATGGAAACAGACCGTTAATATATTGTTAACAGGTTAGCCAAAGATATTTCTATGACGGAAAACCTTTTAAGCCCAATATAGGCGTCCAACTGATTATATAACCCAAAGTAATCTATCAGAAAGCATTTATCTGCTTTCTTGTAGATTTACCTTCTTAGGCAGATTTGACTTATGTCAGTAGTAAAAATTAATTTGTATCAAATTATTAAAATTTATTGTAATTCTTGACTATCGGTTGATATGAAGGAAAGAAGGCCAGGGGGAAGGTGGCTTAAGAACATACCTGTGGCACACAGCAGTCAGTGTGAGATTAAAAACAGGCCAAACATCACTGAAATGGTGGATAACTAACAGCTAACCACACATAGAACAGGCTCCCTAAAAAGAGACCATCTAACAGAATGGATATTGCCCTAAGCTGCAGACAAACACCTTCTCATTCTGTCAGGTAAGCGGTGTAAATCCGTCACAGAGGCACAGCAAGGTCCATAAATCCATTTCACCACTACTAGCTATACAAGTATATGGTTTCAAAAACTCCAAGGAGGCATTTGCCACCAAAGACAACTCATCAAGAGTCAACAGAGCAAGAAGAGAGGTATCCCTTCTTGTAATAAAAATTCCACTTTGTCAGAGCCAAGATCTAAACATCACCAATCCTTGCCTGGGTGGGGTATGTGTACTGAACTTCTCTTTGATCAATGACAGGTTACTTTGTTCAGGGGACAGGTATACCTTTTTATGTTGCCTGGCATCACAGTTACTGACAGTAAAGTACAAACACCTTAATGTGGGCACACAATTAACCTGGGGTTGTGCTCCAGAGCCTGGAAGCACATCAAACAAGAACAAACCATAGTCATAGGTATTTCTGGTCAGACTATTAACAGACCCTATCAAATAATGACACAATGTCAGCTACCAGAACAGTTAAATAGATATATGTGGACCATACTCAGGATGGCTTAGGTGACGTAGATATTTCATCAAACTATTCAAATACTAGTACTACTGGTTTACATTAGACTCAAAAGAAAAATGAGGAGTATGAAATATGAGCTAATTCATGAGTCACTTAAACCTGAGACACAGTTGGAAACAACACACATCTTCCTGTGACTATAGCTATACAAATTATCTAAACTTGGGCTCATTAGAGTGTTTTCCCTGACCAAATCAATTCCTGTATACCATGTTTCAGGCTGAAGTGCTCTTTTAATGCAGAGTTTTAATGCCTTAAAAAGCTAGATATGGTGGGAAGATTTAACAGGCTCTCCTCATCCCTTGAGTGCCTTGGGAATAACAATATAATGCCAACAAAAGCCCATTGTTCCCACCAGCTTTATCAGAGTTCAGTGAATACACACTAGAAGATGAGCACCAGAGACTCAGCAGAGTAAGAAAGCACACTCCCTTCCCCCTCACCTCACAGCTCAAACCTCAGCATACAGTCCAGCAGCACACAGCCACTAAAGCCTAGCTGTACCCTGCTTTGGAGGATCGAGGTCATTATGCAGCACTAACATTCTAATTGTCTCCTCTGACTCTCCAGGTTTGTCATGGGATTATGGGTGTCAGTTTAAGAGCTTTAAAGCCATCCTCTCAGAAGGCATAATGTCTCCAAGAAGCAGAGGAATTGGTCCATTCAGTAATGAAGCCTTCTGCTTGGCAAAAAGCTCACACGCTGAATGGTAACCAGTTCTTCTCAAAGCTGGGGCTCTCACAACCCGTTGGTTTAGCCCCACAAAACCTACCATCCGCGAAGCTTATAGGCCTCTGGAATGTCAGGATTAACAATGATAGTACTGGAAGACAGGACTGAGAGACTCCGTCCACCAAAATCAGAAACCCTGGCTCCTTTGATGGCCATCACAGGCTGTCTAGAACCATCAAACTTGTCAGCCTGCAAAACAAACACCAAACACACACAAGTTCACTAGCAGGAGTAACAAATATTTTTAGAGAAAACAAGGAAAACAGTTAATAGCAGAGTGAATATAATCAACGTACATGGAATCTATACAAGACAGATCTCACATTCAAGAATCTGCTCAGAGATAGATGAAAACTAATCTTTCACTACTTTACTAGGGGTAGAGGGAAGAGTGTTTCACTACGAAAAGCTGAAATCACAGCACATCTCACAGAAGGAAAGGAAAGGACTTCATATAATTGCTAGAATGCACAACTCTTTGCCGCCTATGTGGCCAAAGCTCCATAACTCAGAGGACAAAACAACCCAACTATGGAGGTCTCTCTGTCTACTGCAAGTACTTACATCATCTCCCCATAAAGTAGCAGTCACCACTTTCCCTGACATGTCCATCAAATATATATTTCTCTTAGCGACTTCTCTGTTGTTAGACTTCACTGTGATTTTGGTGACATCTTCATAGCTCTTGCAGATCCCAATTATGTCTAAAATACAAGTACAATGTCTTAGCAGGAGAGGCCAAGGATCCTCTTTCAACATGACCAAAGGGTGAGTAGAAAGCACTTGGTCAAGTCTTGCACCTCCCCATTTGCACCTCATACATTGCAAACAAAACTAATCATCACCACTGTCCTCAAACTGGTCTTACCTACAAGCGAGTCTTTAGACTTGTTCTCTAGGTCGCCAATCCCCGTGAAATCAAACTGAACTGAAGGTAAATGATGACCATCTTCACATGGCAGGACAGAAGTCTCATTATTGAAGGTCATCTCATAGTCATTTTTAACAGCTGAGAACTGTTTGTTAGCAATCTTCAGGGTACCTTTTGAGAAATAATACACCTACAAAAGAGGCCAAGCCACAGAATGAGAGAGCCCATCAAATCAGACACTTTACCAATGGACAAGTGTACCCTTGTCCGCATTGCACCACCCAACCTTGTCAGTTCCAGATCAACACTGTGGTACCTTGTTCACTTCAATAAGAGGGAAGAACTTGTCCACTTGCTCATTGAAAGCTGTAGCTCTGATTTCACCCTGTAGAAGCAAGTAAGAGCAGGTTAGGATTGTGATATTCGACATCAAGCTTGAGCAATGAAAAGCAGGCCACTTTAGCATCAAGATGACATCTTTGGAGCAGTGGCACAAGCATAAAGGAGACCTGTGAGAGGGCTGCAGACATCCTAGAAACCAGTATCTTATTGTCGAGACATTAAAGCTATCATCTCTGATAAAACAACAGAAGTTAAATTGGCTGACCCCATAATCATGCTATCACGTAATCATTGCCTGTAACCTCAAATTAGAAAAAAGACAAAACAAAAAATGACAAATTTAACATTGTGCTAATAACAGCAGAAAGTTTTGGATACTGAGTGACATGACCAAAACCCACAGGGATATGTGCTGAAGCAGGATGATTCAGCAGATTCCCTCATGCTTGCAACCTGAATGATGGATGATTTCACATTCAGGAGCCGTTGCCAAAAATGTATCAAGTCATGCTTTCACATTGCTTGTGATTTGGTTTTCACTTTTACTTTTCTGTCAGGCAATATGATACAGATGGAACAGAAACTTAAATAAATGGTTGAAATCTTAGCCAACTGCAGATACACCATCAATTTATAGAAAATTAGGTTCTGATTTTGATTCTGCCATCACAGTCAAACATTTGGTGTATTGTGCCATCTTCTAAAAGTGGGGGGTGAAATGGGAATGGACAGCTTTGAAATGTTTTGTTTCATTTAAATAAAGCATCTAGAGAGTCTCATGGTCAGAACCCATTTCCCACAAACCACTCACAGTGCAAGTGGCTGTTGCCTGCCTTTTGCTGGGAGCCAAAGTCCCACTTTGCTCATCAGTAGGGCTTCAACTAAGCCTCCAGCAAACCAGACAGAGTGTCTCCAGTTATTCCTATCCTTGAGGTTACTTATACATTTAGAAAACTAAATGTTTCTCCTCTACAAATGCTTTCCTTTAGAACCAAGATTTTATTTATGGCTGTTAGCACTCTATATAGCATCAAAGGACAACAACAGAGGGAAAACCATAACAACAACCATGTTTCTTTTTGGCCTACCATTATTTGCCATCTCATAGGCATGCAGAGCTGAGTCTTGTTTCTCTGAGCCCAGCTCCCTTACCTCACCAGTTGCACATACTCACACTTTCATCAACGAGTTCTATAGAGAAAAGCTTCCCTTCCCCTCGGGAATTGCTCCAGGTACGGACCTGACTTTTGTTGGTGATCCGAGCACAAATAGTCCACCTAAAACCCAAATAGGTTACATTAGTGTTTATAGTATTTCTTATTTGAATAAAGTCCAAGTAATAAATACTCCTCCTATGGCTTTTCTTATCTTAATGCAGATTCCATTTGTCAATGTTAGTTGCATTTTAATCCAGCTAATTAAATCCCAAGATGACATACAGGCTTTACAGTTTACAGAATAAACAAACCGTAAAACATACTATGTGACTTAACTTTAAATCATTCTCCTGTCAAATAAGTAAATCTAAAACCATCACCAAGGCAACAATATCCCCTTAATGAAAGGTTCTAAGCTAAAAAACACAGTTATATCAGCAATTATATTTTGCCACTGTTTTCAATTATGGGAACTGATATAACTGATGTCAAACTTCCATCTCATTTCTAATGTGTGCTGAATATGAATACAAGGCTACTATATAGAACATGGCGCTTGTGGGCCACTAAAGGAAAACACATTGAAGTGGTATGACTTTAAATAGAGGCCACTAAAAAAGGAGGTCAAAGATCCGAGATCCAAGCCTGATGTCCATCCTGAAGGTAGGTACTAGACACACTGGTTACCTTACTTATAATTTCACAGCAGAAATTATCTTCCCTATATTATCAAGTATTGAAGAATCAAAACATATCTGAAAGAATTTCAATGGTCTAATTAATATTTAATGCAAAAAAAACCCCCAAACTAATATAAAAGAAACACTGGCTGGGGTGTGGCTCAAGTGGTAGAGTGCCTGCCTAGTAAGCATGAGGCCCTGAGCACAAACCCCAAGACCCTCCAAAATAAATAAATAAATGGATAGATAGACAGATAGATAGATAAATGGTGGGGGGGAGAAAAGAAAGAAATCCATGTTCAGGGCATATTAATGTGGTTAAAACAAATGGTACAGATTATTTTAGCCAAATCAAATCACGGTAACAATTTTTAGACCAAAAACCATTTATTTATATGTTGAAATGCTTTCTGAATTAGCAGACATTTTTTATTCACAAACCTATCAACTGATTCTCTAAGCAAGTACTTCTAATTTCAAATTCTTCAAAAATGAATGAAATCCACGGGCTACGGCAGATTGCTATTTTTGCCATTCTATTTTGTAAGCAACCTAAGGGTTGCCACAATTTGTGACCTCCTCTGACTCAAAAATAAAAAAAGAGAAGAAACCCATTCTATGTGGTGGTGATCCTAAAGTACAAACATCAGTCCCAAATAACTTCTTATACCGTTTTTGTAAGTATATTCTGTACTTGTCCTATGCAACAACTCACTTGGACTGGTAAGGGGTAAGGCTGGCGATTGGTACCACTTTGAACTGTGTCCCAGCAGGCTGTGATGGTCCAGTCCCACCAGGTTTTCCAAATATCTTTGGAGCACCAAAAGTCTTGGATACAGTGGAACCTGTATAAACACAGAAAAGGACAAACATTATTCTACTTAGCTTTTATAGTAAACTTTATAATAATTTTCATTAGTGATGTGCCACAGGGGAAATCATATAAAACAAGAGGCCAATTTTTTTTTCCTTTTAGTATTCAAGATATGAAATCAGATACAGAGGGAAGTAGGAGGTCAGGAAAACAATCTAAAATGAAGGCTGGGCACATAGGAGTCCATAATTACATTGGCTGACAGCCCTGAGGGTCAAGATAACGAGGGTAATGAATCCACTCATTGCTCTTTCTGAGGTCCACCTCCTGAAACTTTCCGTTTGCATCAATGGGCAAGATAATGAATCAAAGAAAGAAGATCAGCCTTCTTGACTAGGGAAACTGAGGCAACTCTGTAGTCTGGTCAGAAAAAAGCAGGGGATGGGGGTGTGTGTAGTTCAGTGGTAGAGTTGCAGACATGTGCAAGTCCCTGGGTTTGATCCCTAGCACCGAAATGAAAAGGTTCAGATGTAAAGGATTTGAAGGATAGATATTGGAGGTAAAGGCCACCTATCACCAATATATCATCTCAAAACACCACCACAGAATGGAAAAGTCTAGAATGAAGTCTAGGGTGGTGGTTAGTTGGGAACAAAGGGCAAGACTCAGTTTTTGGCCAAGACACGTAGGTGGTCACTAAGACACCCCCCACTCCCTTGCCTACTTTCTCCGAAGTGCTGCCCTGCATATGGAAAGGGCAGTGTTCAGAGCCAATTAACAAATGAGTTCCTTTATATGTACACTGTATCTATAAAGCTTTAACTCCCAATTCAGAAAACCTAGTTTAGCTCCATGATCTACCACCTTCTATAACCCAACTTTTCTTCATACTAGAATTTGGCTAAAAATAAAAACCCACCATTCATTTACTGAATTTTCCACAGAATGTACCACACTACTCCAAGTAAGTCTAGTACTCAGAATAGACACAGGAGCACATTATATACTAAAGTTTTCTGTTCTAACTGGGAGTCAAGAGAGGCCAATATATATACAGCAGTGTGCCAGGAAACACAAGTATTTTGCAGATGTGTATGTACCACATACAGAACAGGCTTCCATTCTTTTTTTCCTTTTTGGTGAAACTGGGATTGAACCTAGAGCTTGGAGCATGCCAGGCAAGTAGTTTACCTCTGACCTACATCCCCAGTCCCATTCATCCAATTTTTTTTTTTAATGCCAAGAAACTGTCCTAGTCCATTTTCTTTCATTACCCAGCTTAGGGAACATTAATTGATTTTTTTTTTTTTTTTTTTTTTTGGTGGTACTGGGGTCTACACTTTGAGCCACTCTTTTGGCCCTTTTTTTGTGAAGGGTTTTTTCGAGATGGCTGGTTTCAAACCCTTGATCCTCCTTGACCTCTACCTCCTGAGTAGCTAGGATTACAGGCGTGAGCCACTGGTGCCTAGCTGAAATTTATTTTTAAACATCAGTTAAGAAGTTCGAAGCTATCTAGGGCAAATAGTTTCTGAGACCCTATCTAGAAAATACCCATTACAAAAAGGGCTGGTGGAGTGGCTCAAGGGGAAGGCCCTGAGTTCAAGCCCCAGTATTGCAAAATAAATAAATGGATAAAAATTTTAATATAAGGCAAAGATAAATGTAAATGTAAATCTGTTGAGGGAGAGAGAGAAAAAAATAATGTACTGCTTATATTTCAGCCTGAAGAATGGGCTTTGAAATTATTTAGCATTTTAGATAATCTATTACACTACCCCTTCAACAGTACATACTTTCACAGCTATAATAAGTGGATTGACTCATAAAGGAAAATACATAGATGACAGAAGGTAGATGTAAAAAAAAGTTGTATGTCCTAAACTTTATTCATGTTTTAACCCGGCTTTTCTTAGAATCTTGCATTGAAAAACAGAAACTAATAGTTAAGGAGGCTATAAGATGCTGTGATAGAGAAATGACCCCAAGGACTGGAAGCAGGGCTCAAATGATAGAGCACCCACTTACAAGATTGAGGTCCTAAATTCAAACCCCAGTTCTGAAAACACACACAAATTGGACTTCTAAAAATAAATTTAACTATATTTTATAAATCATAATTTTTAATGGTGGCTTCCTAGATCAAAAGGTTCCTAAGCCAAAGGCCAGAAGTAAACAACATGACTCCACCAGAGCCCCTCTGGGTCTTCTGCAGAGAAAGTTAAAAAGAAACTATTTCTCATTCATGAGACTAAAAAGCAGAACCTATGACCAATATAAAGGATTCTGTCTTTAGACAAACAACAAATACCCACGATAGCCCAAAATGAGAAACTTGAGACAAGCTAAATTTAGTAAGTGGGTCCTAGATAGTTCAAAGGTGAGAATTTAAAAGATATGCAAATTCACAGAAAGGCAGAGTGTAAAATGTAAAGCTGTGAGAAACTACTACATCAACTATCATCTAAGAAGAGTATGTTCTGATAAGAAAAGGCATATTGTTAAGTAGCTACATTTTTTAGTCATATAATCTACAATAAGAATTGGAATTATTCTTTGCAATTCTGCCACGAGTGGCATTTTAAAAACTCTCTTTAGGGAGGGGGTGGGGGCAGGGGGGAGAAATGACCCAAGCCTTGTATGCACATATGAATAATAAAAGAAAAAAAATTAAAAAATTAAGGAAAAAAAAAAAACCAAAACTCTCTTTAGTCCCAGATTAAACTTCAAAACGTTATTCAAGCCCTGACACATATTACCATCACCATTGTGGTACCTTACCCATTCCCGAGCTCCCATTCTGTTGCTGGGGCTTGCTGGCTGGTGGACTGGCTGCTGAGCCTGGAGAAGGAACTACTTGCTGCTGCCCATGACCTGAGGATAAAAAGAAAAGACCATTTTATTCCAAAATGAGTTAAGAGATTTAAACCCAAGTAGAAGAAATACTCTGGAAAACTAAATCTTTCAATTCCTCACAGGTCAGAATTCATGCCAGACTATTCAGCTACATGCAGTGACTTTGCTAGGGGTTCACATTTTGTTTTCATATAAAGTCTGGCTCCATTTGGCTTTCACCTGCTTATAATTGATAGCTTTCAGTTTTAATGAAGTTCTCCCCTAAAGACTTGCCCATTTCTCCTATAAGAACCTACAGTAAAGTCACTGGGCTGAATCTGTGACACTACCACTATTTCCATAGCAACAAATCGATGTCATCAACAGAATTGTGTGTTCATGGCAGGATCTATCAGAAGAAAAAGCTGGGTGGTAAGGAAAACCTAAAAGCAGTTCAATTGTCTCTGAAGTGCTCCTGCTTCAAAGGAAAAGATGACATTCAGAAAGGATTCTACTCTCTCCCTCCCAAACAAAGCAACCTTATTTTGAATTGACAGTTGGTAGAAAATAAAGTTGAAAGAGTCGTAGGTACCGTGAACTGTCACAGCAGGGAGAGATGAGAATGGAGTTCAGAAGCAGTTGTGTCAAGGAGACTGGGAGATTAAAAGGAGAAGAAGGGAAACGAACATGTCTGTCAAGCAGAAAATAAGAAATGCCATACTGTAAGGGTATTTATTTGCCCCTCACCCTTTATACAAATGTTTATGAAGCTGGAGAATGTTAAAATTGTAGACTACAAACCCAATTTTAAAGTAACAGACTTATGGAATTTGATTTTATCTTTGTGACTGGATCTGAAAGCAGAAACCTCACTTGGACTGCTCACCAAGAGAGCTTGCAGCACATAAGGGCAACTCAAAAGATGTCACAGTATCCTAGAACATTAAAAACGGTGAGCACAGCTGGGAAAAAGCCCCACTTGCCACTCTGACTCTGCCTTTTCCAACTGCCAAGTTCAAGTTTCTACTGGGTTTCTCAAGATCCTGACTCACATGGGCATGTTACACACTGATTTAATTTACTTCTGCCAATATTACTCTTAAGTGGCCCAGCTAAATGAGACATAACTATGCTATTAGAGTAAAATAAATTTAGCATAAAATTAAAAGGTTAAATAGAATCATTTACTCTTTACTTCTTCCTATGGAGAGAAAAATTGAGATATCTTATTTACATGGAAAAAGGACAATGAAATTTTTGTGCTTATTTTTTAGCTTTTCCATTATCTCTGATTGACAAAGTGTCATAAGAAATTGCATGGGAGAATAGTCTCCTCTGATAACCATGTCTTGTGAGCAACAGTTTTCATTCTTAAGTGAACCGTTTTAAAAATCAGTAGGAAACAGATGAGTTGCTCAGTAAACACTATAGAAGTTAAGTGGTTGGAAAAAATAAAACTGTATCTTCACTTGCTTCATAAAATATATACAAAAGAATAAAAAAACCCTCAAAAATGGAACCATCAAAAATGTACAAATTCCTGCTATCCACTAGCCCAGTTCTCCCCTCTCTTCTGTAGTCTCAAAATCATCTAAACCAGGAAGTCCCATTCTCAGGACTACTTCAGCTACCTCCTGCAGCTGGCTGAACAGAACATGGTCCCTGGACATCACTGATCACACACACTCAATTTCCTTAAACATAAATGACCCTCAGGAGGAAGCTGAAATAGTCAAATTCACAGAGACAGAAAGTAGAAGGGACAGACAGGAGTGGGATCTGGAATCTGGTATTGAATGGGTGTGGAATTTCTATTGCAAAGGATGAAACATCAATTTGAGTGGACTTAGTCATGGAGATTTGAACTTAAAAATGTTTAAGTGGCCAGGTACAGTGATACCTGCTTATAGTCCCAGCTATCCAGGAGACAAGCAGGAGTTTGAGGCCAGTCTGGACAACACAGTGAGACCACATCTCAAAAAATAAAAAAGTTAAGTGTAGATTTTGTGTTATGCATATATAACCACAGTTTTTTAAAAATGTAATTTATTTTACCTAATCCAAGATGTTCATTTTTCACATTTTAATATGTGAATTAAAATTACATGCTATTAGGGCTGGGAGTGTGGCTCAATTGGTAGAGTGCCTGCCTTACAAGTACAACGCCCTGAGATCAAACCCCAGAACCGCCAAAATTAATCTGCTGTCATAATTTTTAGAGGTACATAATACAGTGATAGTCTAATAATCCTTGGCTTCTTGAATTCAATGAAATATTTATCGAGCTAGTCTCCAATTAATAATAGCTATTATTTTCTGAGTGTTTACTATGCACTGGATACAAAGTTAAGTGCATTATTCTAGTGACTGTCAGAACAATGATGTATAATGAAGGTGAGAAAACTGTGTTAGAGATTAAGTTGCTAAAAATCACAGCTGAGAGAGACTAATCTTGAACGCGGGTTTGTCTGACTGGTTCATATTCTTCACCACCAATCTATTTATCACAGCAATCCTTAACTCTTGCTTTGGACTACACTTGCAAATCTGGCACAAGAGATAGTTCTGAACCAAATGGATAGAAAGAATCCTAGTGCATTTTACCAAATACTGGAACACCCAATTTCATTAAACAAATATTACTGGACTTATAAGCACATACAGACTCCAACCCAATAACAGTGGGAGACTTCAATACCCTACTCTCACAAATAGGTCATCTAGGCAAAAAAAAAAAAAATTCAAAATTAATCAACACTTATAGATCACCAAATGGATTTAATGGACATCTACAAACTATTTCACCCAGCAGCTGCACAATACACATTTTTCTCAGCAGCCCACAGAATTTTTTCTAAAACAGATATTGTAGTCCATAAAGAAAGCCTTAGTAAATATAAGAAAAGTGAAATAATCCCATGTATTATATTGGACCACAATGGAATATAAAATTAGAAACCAACAATAAAAGAAACTACAGAAAACATTCAAACACATGGAGACTGAATAATATATTGTTGACAGACTTGGGGAACTGAAAAGAAAGGAATCCTGGTGCACTCTAAACAGAAACAATTGCTCATGAATTAATGTGCTGCAACACAGCAGTCACTAACAAGACCTAAAATAAATCAGTCTACAGCTAAAAGAAAAATCTTTTAAAAAATCAAAATTATACTGCAAGGCAGAATTGCAGAGACTCAGTTTCTGATAATTTTCTGTTTTGTGCCACCTACAAATCAAAACATTCCAATAAGATGCCTCAAAATAATTCTTAATCTCTTTTCTTATATCACTGGTTCTGACCCAGGAGAGAAACAGGAGATTTAAAAGTTACTTGCACTCATGGCTATCCCTTTTTTTTTTATGATCTATTACAATGGTAAATGAGCCATGGGTAGAGAGAATCAGTTTATGGACACTGGAGTACACAGAGTAACAAAAAACACTCAACTTCTAACAACTATAAAGAATATACAGATGAATCAATATAATTTCCCATTGACAGAAAATGGCCAAAATCAGGCTGAGTAGAATTCCAACTAGTATCAATAATGATTAGTACTAATAAAGTAAGATTGTATAATACATTTAAGTCCAATTAAAGTATTAACAATAGTTTAGATAAATAGAATTTATCCATATACACAAGGCAAAATATGTAGTGGTATGAGAGAGAGAGATTTAAAACCATCCAACTCAGTAGTATATGAAGCATGAATTATTTTTGAAGTTTTTTGCTTTTGTTTTTGGTGGTACAGGGGTTTGAACTCAGCCACTTGCTAGACAGGTCCCTAGCCCTTTTTTGCTTTAGTTATTTTTCAGATAAGGTCTCATGTTTTTGCCAGGGCCAGCCTGGGACTGTTGATTCTCTTACCTATGTAGAGATCACTGACATGCACCATCACACCCAGCTTCTGTGCTGAACCCCTGCTCAGGCTGGTTTCACATATTGGAAATTCTGTAAGTACCTTTTATGTGATAATACTACTATAATGCACACTTTGCATTTTAATGCACATTTTGGAATTCCTACTGATTTCTGGACAGATTTAGTAAATTAATTTTACTGATCACCTGATTTGTCACAGGTTCTGGATTAGGTTCTGTAAGGATATAAATCTAATTTTAGTACTCTTCTCCCAAACAACAGATTCCTTACTTTCACAGTAGAAAATCAGAAAGCACTGCTGTGAAATACACTGTAAGGCAGTAGTCACTGTAACAAAGATATCTCCATGATGGCTCAAATAACAATGTGTTACTGATCTAGTAACACATTCATATTATTCAATAGTAAATAATTCTGAATAGCAAAATTTTCTCCTCCCTCTGTACTTTAACAGACCCTGAAAAGAAGGACCAGTAAAACTGGAATTTTTTTCCCCATAGCTCTGTAATTCTGAGCCCAAGAAATGATTATATTTCAGTCCTCTCATTGCCATCTTATTGCAAACACTTTTGCCCGTGAAACACAAAGTGTCCAATGCAATCATTTCATTACATAAAATATAAAGAACACTAAATACTTGGCTAAAGGTGATAAAGTTGGCTACAAGCACCTCTCCCTTGCCCCTTATGGCATCCAAGGACTTCAGAGATGCTAAGCCATTGCTTTGTCTTACCATTCCTTCTAAAAGCTGAGAATATGAAACTAATGTGTTCGTCTTAACAAAACTTTACTACTGACAAGTATCTGCTCTAATTTAATAATTTAGAACTTTACCTGGTACACTCCAGTTTTCCCTCTCCAATTTAGAGCATCAGATTATTACAATTTGTGCAAGTCATGATTAGTATCTACCAGGTTCCATTTCTGGAAAGATCATGATGAAAACCTAGTCTCCAATCTTTCTACTTCTCCTAAAAACTATACAGAGCAGTAAGAATGCATACCACACTATATACATGCACGCATGTGAACACACTCATGTGACATATCCCATATAAAACCACATCTTTAATTTGGTGAAACTAGGGAACAGAGAAAAACCTATAAATTCCAAATTATGTGAAAGAGAAGCCCAAATAGCACTAGT